CTTGTGTTTTTTCCTCATATATGGAAGTCAGAGGGAGAAAAAAAAATATGTTATAAAAGTAGGAGACCATTAATGGTGACAAGTATGGAAAAGAGAGCTTAGGAAAGAACCCAGAGCAGTACAAGCTGGAGCAGCTGCCCAGGGCGCCTGGCCCTCCCTTAGCGCCCGCTGGAGGTCTCTGCTGAGTAGACGGTCTGTTCATATCGAGGGGCACAGGACAGGGGTGGATGCCAGCCCCAAAGGGGGCCTTTTCTACAGGGTGGCAGTTCTTGACTTGTGTGGCCTTGCTCAAAACAATTGAGGGCAGCCAATGATATTCCTTTTTTAGGATGCTGAGCTAAAATTCACACAGGCCAGTTTTAGCCAGGGATAGGATCAAAAGGGTTATCAAGAGTAATCCCACCTTAGGGAAACCCAGTGGCCACTGTGGACCATCTGCAAGTGAAGACGGGAAGAAACGGATCGGCAGACAGGAAGGACTGGAAGTTATGGGCTGAGGGCAGCAGCGGTGTCTTAAGTGGGGTCATGAAGGGCTCAAGGGATAGAGAAGGGTTTTGGGGCAACAGTGTCCACATTCACATCTCCAAAGGGCCTGGACGAACTTAGTTTCTTGATGGCTCTTTTGTTGAGCTGGCTCATATTGATGCAATGAGAGCCCCAACCAGGACAAGAAAGAACAACAACCCAAGGCCAGGAACCCAGAGAGAAAAGAGGAGCATGAAGAGAAGCAGAGATAGCACAGTTGTTTCTGAGTTCAGCACAGAACCTGCTGGGACCAGGAGTAGATGGTGAAGTGAGAAAAGGGTGGGACCAGGGACCTGCCAAACGGCATCCAGTCTTGCTGCTGCCACTGTGTGGCCTAGCAAGAAGTCAGAAGTCAGCTCCTTGGGGACGCTTCCTCTGTGTTCCCCAGTCAGAATTGAGCACCTGCTTCCCATGTTTTGAGAACACGTGGTTGGCTTCCTCCAAGTGCTTACCCCTCAGAATTCTAACTGCTGAACCTATTTCCATCTGAAGTTCCTCCAGCCCAAGGGATCTCAACCAGGTGCACTTTGGGCCCTTCAAGGGCCATTTGGCGATGCTGGAGGCACTTTTCTTGTCAAAACTGGGGGGAGGGGAACGACTGCTACTGGCATCTGGTCATGCCGCTAAAATCCTGCCACGTGCAAGAAAGCCCCTGACAACAAGCAATCATCTGGTCAAACATGTCGACAGTGCAGAGGCCGAGGAACCCGCTCCACCTCGTCATTCTCCAGTAGAACATCTGCTGACAGTGCTGTGCTGTCCACTTGTGGAGCCACTAACCACATGAGGCTACTGTGCACTCGAAAAGTGGCTAGTGCAACAGAGGAGCCGAATTCTTTAAATCTGTGTGTAATTTAATGAAGTTAGTTTTAAATGAGCACATATGGCTGCTGGTTTCGATGCAAATCAATCCTCTTCTCCTTGCTCCTCTCAGACTCGGATGACCACCCCATCTCTCCATGCACTTGCTATACTGGATTTTTACAATTATAGGTTTGATTGCCCCCCCGCCCCCTGTGGACTGGAAGCTCCCTGAAGGAGGGAAACCAGCTCAACTCATTCACCTCCTTGGGTCCCTGGGCATTTCTAGATAATGATCCTTGCTAATCCTCAAACTGTTGTTTTTCTTAAAAAAAAAAAAAAAAAAAGTGTTCTCATGAACAGAAGCGTTGTCTGTCTCAAAAACTCGATCTGGCCTCAGACAAGCTACCTCTTGTCTTAAGACAACCTCCTCCTCGGCTCATAGTCTTTGTGCTTCGGACCAAAGGACTGTGGCACGCTCCTGCCACCTGGTGGCAATGTATAAAAAGTCATGCTAAGGCTTTAACCCTGAGGGTCTGATTTAGCCAAAACACAAGACAGAAAGGGCACACTTTGGGATTTGCATTAGTAAAACAGAATTAATAGAGCTATAAATCTGAAAGTAAACTTAGTAATTACTGAGTTCCACCACCTTAATTTCCAGATGAGGAAACTATAGCTTAGAGGTGTTTTGTGACTCACTTAGATGTATAACCACCAGAACCGCAGCCTGCACCTCATTGTCTCCAATTGCAGTTTTTTTTTTTTTTCTCTTCAGTCTACCTCTAAAAATTAAATATCTCTTTATTTGGGGAAACCAAAGTTTTGGTTAATTGATAGAATCATGAACAATGAAATATAACAACAAAACAAAAAAAATGGACTAATTTCTGTACAAGAAGACCTCTTTGGAAATGAGCATTGGACTTTGTAAAGAGATCGTCTTCTCAGAAGTAACAAAATTCTCTAGAGTTGGTATGACACCGTGCTTGTTCACTCGATTTAAATGAACAGAGAGATGGATGAGCACCTTCAAAATCAAGTGCATACTCGCTGCCCGCTACGGAATGAGATATTCTATTTCATTTAGGAGTGCCTGCGTCGGATATGTGTTAAACAGGGCTACGTTCCACTGGGTGCTATGCTAGGTGATACAACCAGGAGAAAGAGAAATGAGATCTCTGCTCTCACGGAGTTCAGGGTTTGACAGGCTAAGACAGGTAGTGACAAGGACACTGAATACACGGAATAGGAAGAGGTGAGTTGGGACGGGAGGAGGTCGCTGTCAACAAAAACAGAATCGACCATAGTCATCAGTGCTACAGAACGGGCAGAATCTGACAGGGCCAAATTCCAAATGTTTTGGTGCCAAAGTAACCAATCAGGAAGGGTAAGGTGGCAATGTTGCCAAATTGAAGAGTCAGGTGGGAGCTGGCGCCCAGCAAAAGAGCGATGTGGGCTTTGAGGTCTACTTGGCTAAGGAGAGCTCGCCCCTCGTGTGCCAACGTGGGAGGGCAGAGGAGGCAGTTATGGAGGCTGGGCTGGGTAGGAGGCCTGGGAAATCCCCCAGACAGGGTTAAGGATTGGGGGGATTCTTAATACACACCTCACCCCTGGTCAGGGATAGCCCAGAGGCTGGCATTCGCCCGAGCCAGCAGGGTGTAGGGCAGCCAACACAGGCAGCTTCTATGGTGCGAGTGCCAGCAGAGGCCAGATGGAAATTCTGACCATAATGTTAATTCCGTTCTCTGTGGTTTTCTGCTCAGACACATGTAAGTCTCTTCTAGGGTTTGTTTAGCTTGAAGCTATCGGCTGTGTGGGGCCAGGGCCCTACACCCTTGATTTGCTTTCATTTCCAAGGCCTTGGTCAGCCGAGTTTATAGGAAGGGATGGTCAAGATCCTGTGCCCTGGAAGGACAGCATCCTGCTGGAGAAAGCAGTTGGGAAAACCCAGCTCATTCTTCCCAGATCCGAGGCACGTCTCAGTCTGGAATATTTATTCTGTCCTTGCTTGGTAGAACGCAAGCCTGGGAGCCGAGTTCCTCTCACATGTCTAATCCAACGTCTCCCTGGGAAGAATATTGACCTCTCTGGGACAAAAGCCACCCTAGAGCCAAGAAAGCTGGAAGTTCAGAGCCTGGTGACATCATGGGTCTGTTTGTGGGACTGGGTCTCTTGGGTCTCCCCTGGGGAACTTTCCACACCTCAAAATTGCCCTCAGATCGTAAGCCCAACCCTCTGAAGTGAACTCTGGCCCACCTGGTGAGAGACTGGCTCCCACCAGGGCTTGATCACCGATCAACGTGTGACCCTGAGATTCGTGACGACGGTTCTCACTGCCTCGATTTCCTCACACTGCTCATGAGATGATTTTCAACACTGGATGGGAAAACTATGGCTGAGGCTAACGTAGGAAAACGTTATGCTAGATATTAAATGTCATCCAAGAGACAGTAAATTTAATGGCCCCAAAGTGGTTTCAACCCTCCGAGAGGATTTTACTTCCCCGAGCCTGGGAGGGGGAGCTAAGTGCCCCGGCTCTTCTATTTCTGTTCTGCATTTGAAAAGTCATAAATAGTTAACTGTGTGAGTTCTTTTTTAAAACCTCCCAGGAGCATCTAAAAATAGCCTCTGGGGGCTCCACGCATATGTCCTCAGGTCCTCTTGGTAATTTTTCAGGATGGGTGGTGACGACCACGTATTGTTAATGTCACCTGTAGACTTAGAAGCAGCCAGGCTGGAAGGCAGAGAGGGGTGGCAAGTGGGAAGGGGCCCTTGGGAGGTGGAACCCAGCACCAATTCAGGATGAGAGGCCAGGGATGAGAGGTGTCACCTCTCTTTTCCTTGGTTTCCCTGCCAGTCAAGGGAGAGAGGAGGGGAAGTCTCCCTCTCCTCGGGCTGCATCGAGAATCTGCCCTCAAGTGTGACGCTTCAACAGATTCTTCAGCAAAGCAGAACCTGCCAACAGCCAAGTGCTATTGTGACAGGTCAAGTCCACACTCATTACATGCCTTTGCAGTGCACGTCACCCCTGCCGTTTCCTATCACCAGGCCAGGAGTAGGGCTCTCCTGCCAGTTTTCCAGCCCAGTGGCATGACCCGGGGCTGAATGTCCATCACAGGCTTGATGGATAAGCTTGATGGTGCAGCTCAGCCACCTGTTCTTGGAGCCATGCCTCTGCTCCCCTCTGTGTACCCACACCAGGAACACCACCTCCACTCTGACTTTCAGCCCATGTCCTTCAGGGAAGGAAGCACCCCTTGCTAACAGAGGGCCAGCCCAGAGCACTCTCGGGTCCATCCAGAAGGAAGGGTAGAGGGTCGGGCAGGAACCTCCTCCCCAGGCTCCGTGCCCTGTGTTTTCCCTCCAAACACTCCTAACAATGCACAGTGATTAGTTGCGTCCCAGGCCCCCTGACACCCCTTAACCTGGAAAATCAGGCAGTCTTGCTCGACAGCAATCAGCTCCCAGACACATGGAACCGTAATGTGATTACGCCATTTACCAAAATGCAAAGAGAGATACTTGAGGCGTTTCTGATTAGGGCTGACATTATGCCTCTAATGGGCCACCGCATTAATCAGAGCTGTTGCTATGGCTATGGCGATGGTGGGGAAATAACCCCAGCTTGATTCTGGGCCTCCCCCACGCGTAGTCGCCAAGGAAGAGGTCAGCTTTTGTTAGGGGACTCTGCACAAGAAGGGCTCCTTCCCGCTGGAGAAGGGCTTCCTATTGACATGGCACCCGCACCAGAAAGAGAGGCCTCTGTTTTCTTTCCTTCTGTTGGGGGTGGGTGGGGGGTTCTGGTCCCCATGGCTCAAGATGACTCGTTGTTCTGGGAGGGACTGGGGGGGTGTGGAGGCTGATTTGTGGGGCTGTCAGAGCCTTCTGCTCTCCAGAATTTTGTCTTAATTGCTGTGGTCCCCTGGGAATCCTGTGGGGCATGAGAACCCGGGGGGCGGGAGAAGGATGATCTGTGGAAAAGCCCAGCTTTCCCATGGCATAAACACTCTGGGCTCCCGCTGCGCTCTCCATTCCAGAAGCCTCTAAAGCATTTGGCAGAGACAAAGTCTGTACCCAGACGCCCTATGACGAAGCAGATGGAAAAACAGAGGCGGGAATAAATGGATCTGACAGGCCCCCCGTGCAAAAGCCCCTGGCCTGGGCTCTGGCGGCTGGAGCCCATGCACTGCGTGGGAGGGGACAGGAGGGGAGGCGGTGGGTGCTGGGGACGGGAGCCCCAGAATCTAACCTTGGTGGGTGGAAGTCCACGGCCCATGGACCCCAGCCAGCTTCCCTCAGGCAAAGATGTGCCGAAAGGGAAACTTCAAGGTCAGTGATGTGGCACGGTCCCCCTCCCTCCCTCGTTCCATGGTGCAAATCAAGAAGCTGAGCTCTTGCCCAAGTTCATTCTAGAATTTTCTCTGAGATTTGGCTTATTCTGTCTTCAGAGCGAGGACCATGAAATCTACCCTGCTTGTCTTTTTACAAAAGTGGAAAGATAAAATTATTTCACTGTGGGGAGAGAGGGATTGGTAGACCCCAGAGCACAGACACTCAAACTGAGCTCCACTGGGGAGTAGTCACCTCCGGAGATCTTAGAGGCACTGCAGCCTGGGCCTCAGCATCAGGCCACCTGGGCTCACTGGTCTGGGAGGCACCCAGAGCTTGGGGACTTTTCAGAGCTCCCAGGGAAACCACCGCTCTAAAGTGCTGTAGGGAACAATTCCCTACCTTTGAGCCTCATTTAATGGGAATAAAAAAATTTTTTTTAAATAAAAGGTTTTCATGAGGATAAAGGTAGAAAACGTATGTGAAAGTGCATAAAAGTCGTCCATCCTGGATCCCTAATTAATGTTCAAGTCCCTCATTAGAGGCCACTGCCTCTGTTTCAGGGGAAAGGGTCTTGTCCCCAGGGGTAAGACCCCAGACGGCACCTCACCTCTGGGCTGTGTAACTGTGGGCAAGTTAGTGAATAACAGCGAAATTTTACAACATCCGAAACCTTTCACATGCTTGATCTCACTTAATTATAGCAACAACCTGGTGAGGCCGGCGCGGATCATTGTTGCCACCCTGTGAAGCCACATCACAGGCGACTCAGGCAGTCAGTGGCAGAGCTGGGATTTTAGCCCAAATTTGTCTTGTTCCAAAACTGGAGTTCTTTCCACGACCTTCTTGGTTAGAACTGACCTGAGTCAATTTTGTCATTCACTATGTAGATGCCAGAGGTCCTCGGGGCCGTGCATCTCTGTGTGCTATAATGAAAGCAGGTGTCACATGGAATCCTGCTCCACAGACTCTCATTTATTAGCTAAGCAGGTGCAGAAACAGGCACGCGGCTGGCTCTGTGAGCTCAATGACATCCTGAATCATTGTCCTTTTAGGTGCCCCACCAGAGCCTGGCATGAAAGCTTTGTTCAGGGCAAAGGTGACATTTTTTAGCACCAGGATTCAGCTAACCTTGTCGTTGGGTCATGAGAAAAAAATCCTCTGATAATCAGCCAGACAAATACAAGATCCATTGGAGTCATAAGCTCATGGCCCTGTTCCATTTAACAAACCCAGGGAGGCCAATCAGAAGGCTACCAGAACATTCCAGCCCAGAGTTGACAAAGGTCTTCCCCCATGGCTGTGGGGAAGGAGGGAGGGTTTGAATAGCTCATGGAGTCCACCCGACACATTGGGCACTGTTTCAATTTCCTAGGGCTACCATAACAAAGTGCCGTAAACGGGGGGAACTAAAAACAACAGAAATGAACTCTTTCACAGTTCTGGAAGCCAGACGTCTGAAATCAAGGTGTTAGAGGGGTCACGGCTCTCTTCTGAAGGCTCTAGGGAAAAATTCTTCCTTGCCTCCCTCCTAGTTTCTGCCGGAAATCAAAACCTCTCAGTGTTCCTTGGCTTGCTGCTAGGTCATTCCAGTCTCTGTATCCGGGATTGCTTGGCCTTCTCCCTGCGTGTGTGTGTGTGTGTGTGTGTGTGTGTGTGTGTCTGTCTGTCTGTCTGTCTATTTTTGTGCATGCCTGTGTCCCTGTGTCTCTCTCCTTTTCATAAGAATTCCAGTCAATTGGATTTAAGGTCCACCCTAATCCAATACAACCTTAACTGAATTAATTACATCTGCAAAACTATTTTCAAGTAAGGTCACATTCTGAGGTTCTGAGTGGACATAAATGGGGTGGGATGCTCTTCAATCCTGTACGGGCACTCACAGCATGCCAGGTGGTATAGAGAGAGAAGAGAAAGGTGAATAAGCCTTGCCCCGCACTGGGGTTGCTTGGCCTCCACTGAGGTAGACCAGCAGGTTGGTGAATGCTGAAGGTCCTGGGAGCGGCGGTACATGTGTTGCTGGTGCAGGACAGGAGAGGCACCTCACCCTGAGCTCACAGAGTCCTACAGGTGGAAGGGGTTAGAAAGGCCAGAGACAGAGGAGGGGTGACCTGCAGGCTCAAGGATTTAGTCCTAGAGGGAGCAGAACAAGTTCTTGTGGTGAGGAAGGAAGCCCGATTGGTAGGTAAGGGCAAGTCAGGACGCCTCCTGAGCCTATCTATCTCCAGCAGTTGGAAACCATCCTGTGGACCTCGGGAGCCACGGCCTGTTTTCAGCAAGGGAAGGACATAGTCAACGTCTGAATGTTGGAACGAGCACTAGGAAGCAGTGAGAAGGAGAAATGGGAGAGGTTGATGGAAATGGGAAATCTAAGTCAAGGGCAAGGAGAGAGAGAGTCCTGGCACCCACGGCAGGGACCAGGGGATGGAGACAAGGAAAGTGATTTCATGTTTATTCAGACAGAGAATCAGCTGAGTTTGTGGAAAGATCGAAAGCTGATATAAAAGGGAGGTAGTGGTGACATCCAAGGGGTTCCATTCAGTGTTCTTGTTAATTTCTCTGGAGGCCGTCCTGAGCTATTTGGAAGTGGCTCAAGAACTGGAGAACTTCGACCTTGAAGTAGCAGGAGGAGGAAAATCAACGAGCAGAGAATTCAGAGGGAAAAAAATGGTCAAGTGAGAGAGAAGAACTGGAATGACACATGGGAGCAAGGGGAGAGCCACTGGGCACCGACTCCAGGAGAACTGGCATCAGAGAGAAGGTGCTGACCCCCGGAGGAGGCTGGCCAGGGAGGAGGAATGCGGAGAGCCTTGGAGACCAGAGAGGAATCTGAGTGGGGGCCAAGACCAAGACCCGTAACTTTGTATTTTGAAACTCACCCAAAACTTGGTGTCCCCAAGAAAAGTGAAGGTCCAGGAAGTTCACTCATTTATTCAGTTAACTAGGGTGACCAACCACCCAGATTTGTCCATGACTGCTCCACTTTTAAACCTGAAAGCCCAATGTCCCAAGAAACCCTTCAGTTCTGGAGAAACCAGGACAGTCCGTCACCTTGGTTAACAAATGCTCCCCGAGCAAGTATAAGGGATGATACGGAGATCAAGATACACAGGGCAGGCTTCCATGCAACCCACAGCCTGCAGGATGCATTACAAGTGCTTCAAACCTGTGCTGCCGGGGGGCCAGGGTGTAGTTCAGAGGAAGAGTGCTTGACTAGCCTGCACCAAGCCCTGGCTTCAACCCCCAGCACAGCAAAAATAAATAAATAAATGAAGCAATGATAGGTTGATCTCGCTCTCTGTCACTGCCAAGGGCAAATCAAAGCAGGTGGTTTCGTTATAACTTGGGCTGGGAATGGAAAAATAAGGCGGTGGTGTGCATTTATGTTAATGGGAGAAATATTAACTTATTGTATCAAATTAAGAGCAGAGAGTTATGCTTCTTCTCTCTATTTGTATGATTTTTTTTGTGTGTGTGAATTTTGAAGATAGTCATGTGAAAAGGAGAGATGATTTCCTTGGTAACGTCCAGGATAGACGAGGCCAGGAAAAAAGGGAAACAAGTCTACACAGGATGGAATGTGCTCGATTTCAGATACTGCTGAGAGAGCCAAAGACCCCTGTCCAATCTCCCTGGGTCCCACCCTCTCCCCTGGGTCAATTCCTAGAGTCATCCTAAAGACTTATCACAATCAGTGTGGGGGGGGGGGTGCTTAAAATATGAGAAATGTCATCTCTCATGGTTCCAGAAGGTCAAAGTCCAAAGTCAAGGTGGCAGCAGGGCTGCACTCACTCTCTGGCATGTCCAGCAGAGATTCTGTTCCTGGCCTCTCTCAGCTTCCAGGGGCTGCTGGCCTTGCCTGGACTTCCTGGCCTCTTCCCTGCCTCTCATCTCTCTCTGCCTTACTCTTACAAAGACATCTGTAATCCAAGATGATCTCAGCTCCAAATCCTTCAGTTAATCACATCTGCAATGATCCTTTTCCCCAGTAAGGCCACGATCCCAGGTTCTGAGATAACCATCAAACATGGCTTTGGGGGAGTCATGATTCAAGCCATTACATCCCATATTATGGATAATCTGAGTCCATTTTCCTGTCCCAAGAGTTGCAAGAGGCAAGAAGAATCCCCTAAACCGACAAAGAGTCCACCCTTCCCTGGCCCCACATGTGCATGAGCAGAAAAGCCCTTGATAGGGCTTCCCTGTATGGATGTCTAATTTGTGCACTGCATAAAAGCCCTTGGCTAAGGGTCAGTTGGGATAGGATACTGAAACTCAGCACTGTACCCATTGTGAGAAAGGAGCACCTTTATTCTTTCCACAAAAAGTGACTTCCATTTCCCAAGTAGTGGGCCTACTCAGAGGGGGTCCTTTCTCTGATTTGAACAAAAGTGCCATTAGGTGAGGAGATACCCTGGCCATTGATATTTGTCAACTCAACTGTGTCTGCCAGTGCCCAGTTAGAGGTAATGTTTCAAGCCAGTTGCTAAAATTTGCAGGACCATGCAAAATTTTCCAGGCCTCAGGAGAGAGTGAAAAAGGATTGATCATTTCCACAGGAAGCAGTGGTACGAAGAGGTGATGAGTTAAAGGGAGAGTGGGGGTGGATAGGGGCTCTGCCAGGCCCACAGAGCCTCATGCAAGCACACCCATGCTCACCTGCTAGGGTCAAAGCAGCCAGGCCTTATCCCTTCTGTGACAGGAGGGTTCACTGCAGTGGGCTAAGATTTGTCCCCAAGCACACCAGCCCTTGCCCTTCACGAGTCTCCTCCAGTAGAGACCTGCTTGAACTTTCACTGAGAGCCATTCATCCTTGGCTTTGAAGGAAGCTGAGCATTGTCGTATGTGAGTCCTGGAGAAGGGCGGGAGCACCCTCCTTGTGGCCAGCTGTGTATGCAGCAGCGGATACCGTAAGCAAGACCCACTCGGGGGAGAGTAAGACTATGCCCCCAGGTGACCTGCCCAGCAACCAGTCAGACCCCCTGCAGAAGTAGGGGCAGAGAAAAGGGAGCCACCACTTCTGCAAACAGCAAAGTCCTTCAGGTACATACCACCTAGAGAGCCCTTCTTTATTTATTTACTTTTTTAGTTGCAGAGGAACACAATAACTTTATTTTATTCATTTTTATGTGGTGCTGAGGATCAAACCCAGTGCCTCATATATATGTGCTAAGCAAGCGCTCTACCACTGAGCCATAGCCCCGGCCCTACAAAGTCCTTATCCACCACTTTATTGTATCCTCAGAACAATGTCTCTTGACAAGCCCATTTTAAGATCTGAAAACTGAGTTTCAGACAGATGAAACTCTTGCTCAGAATCAGGGGTTTCCTATTCCTGGTGGGTTTTGCCAAGCCAATCACAGCTGTGGGGTTTTAGCTTCAGATCTTGACCCTGGGAATCAGAAGGCTGGGTGCTTTTTATCTAGATGTCCCTGCTGAGATGGGCTAGTCATGCCAGTTAACCGCACCGTGGCATTTTCTCCATAAATAAAAAGGAGTAACAGTTATCTTCTCTGTTATGTCACTGTGGAATAGCCAATAAAAATGATTAAAAAGCAATTGCCAAAAATTGAAATCAAACACATAATAAGAGTGAATACTGTGTTGTGACTTCCATGGGAATATAGATATAATTTTTTTTTAAAAAAAAAAAAAGACCAGTCCTTGGATATCTGTATAAGTTAGAGTCATTAATAAGATGAAAAGTAGGTTTTCTTGATGGTTTTATTTATAAGAAAAAAGAGTAGATGTGTACTGTTTGTCAAAAAAAAAAAGATTTTTCTAGGAGCATATGGCAAATTAATCATTAAGACTCTCTTATGGCTCAGACCCACTTAATATGTTCTCAACGGTGTGTGTACAACAAACCTGCACAATTACATTACGGTGACTATTAAATGATTCATCAGGGTCACTTCCCCAGTAGATTTAGAATCTGGTGCTTATTTATGCTTCCCGAGCGGTAATCTTTATTATCTCAATTGTATTTGCCAGGGGCTAATTAGAGGTGAGGGCACAAGCTAATTGCTAAAATTTTTCAGAACCATGCAGAGTATTTATTTGGGGGTGGGGGTGACAATTCCATCTTTAGCAGCAGAAGAGATGGTCTGAGATCTTAACACATGGTATGGCTGCTGGTCCTTAAGAGCTTACTGTGCAAAGTGATTGATTGACTGGCAGCGTGGACCTGGACTAAGATGCCGTGATTGTTTCTGGTACCAGGAGGAGGCAAGCTCAGACTCTGTGCCCTTAATTTGCCATAGCCTGAGTTTGGTCCAGGACTTCTTAACTCACAGTTCTTACCCATACCAAAATGGAAAAACCATAGGATTGAACCAGGTTCACCGAGGATCTCAGAAACAGCTGTGTCCGGAGCAGATGAGCTCCACGTGATAAGAAAAAAAAGTGAACAGCCTTCCAAGAGCAAAGTTATTGGAGCACAAAGACAAGGGATCTAGAAAAATAATACTCAGACATTCAAGCTGGCAGTCTCAAGAAATCTGACATGATTCGCTCGCTGCATCTTAGAACCTAGAAAGGGGGACAAGATCTAGACTCGTCCCTAGAGAGGAAAAAAGAAAAATCCAGAAGAGGAGAGTCACCTTTTATGCTGCTGTGACTGAAAGACCTGACAAGAACAATTAGAGGAGGAAATGTTTATTTGGGGGCTCACAGTTTCAGAGGTCTCAGTCCAAAGATGGTCAAGTTCGTTTTTTAGGGCTCAAGATGAGGCAGAACATCATGGCAAGAGAGTATGGTGGAGGGGAACAACATCACACCAAGAAGCAGAGAGAGAGAGAGAAAGAGAGAGAGAGAGAGAGAGA